TTATAATTAACTCAGAGGTGAGGCAAAATAGAAGGTTAATGTGGTCCAAAGTAGATACCGATGCAATATAGAATAGCCTCAAATCAGAAAACATTGTCAGTTGGGCCTTAACAGTCCAGTCAGTCCATTCATAAATTTGTGCCACATGTTGAAGAAGCACCTAATAACTAAATCCTCCTCCAAAAGTGTCCCTATAGGGAGATCTCCCTAGTTTGACAATAAATGTTGTTTGATGAAAAAGAAATTGAAGGCAGCAATGAGACTCACTCAGAGGCATTCTCTGTATATACAGAAGCTAAGATGCTATTTCTAAGAGGAGAATATAAGAAACTCATTAAATCAAAGGAAAAAAAGTTATGCTGCTTCAATTTGGTCAGGACTTGAGCTGTCAGCAAAAAGTCATAATTTGGCTACATTTTGGCACTCTGTAGCTGGAGTCCCGAAAGAACAGAGATTCACATTCAATATGCCAATCTCTGCTGAGGACTGGGAAAACTATTACCATCACTTGTTCACCCTCTCAGAACCGGTTGAGAAACAGTTCCTAAGTAGTGATTTACCACCTACTCAAACCTCACCCCTTTAATCAGATCAGAGCGTGAACAAAAACCAATGTAATTCAGTGATGCTAACATTAGAGAAAGACAGTGTCTGCTCTGGAAAACATTTTCCTCCAATTAAAAAGAATCTCGAGTCACACAGGAAGTTGTTTTAATAAACAACACTGATAGTTTCTGCCCACATCGAAGCGGAATAGCCTACAAAATAGCTAACCAGGCAAGCTTGCTGTGGCTGTAGCAGTGATGTTTTCACATGTAGGAGGTGACCTGGTCATTGCAGTACAAAATTATGTAAGATAGGAGAACCCAACGACTGTTGGATATAACAAAGTACAGTGGAACCTCGGGTTACGAACGCTTCTGTTAACGAACTTTTCGGGTTACGATCAGCTCCGGCCGCAAAATTTTGCTTCAGTTTGCGAACTCCGCCTCGGGGTACAAACAGGATACACGGCCATTTTCCCTCCCGTGACACATGGTCCGCGGCCATTTTTCCGCCCCTGACACATGGTCCGCGGCCATTTTCCACCCCTGACACGTGGTCCGCGGCCATTTTTCCGCCCCTGACACGTGGTCCGCAGCCATTTTTCCGCCCGACACATGGTCCGTGGCCATTTTTCCGCCCCTGACACGTGGTCCGCAGCCATTTTTCCGCCCGACACATGGTCCGTGGCCATTTTTCCGCCCCTGACACGTGGTCCGCGGCCATTTTTCCGCCCCTGACACGTGGTCCGCAGCCATTTTTCCGCCCGACACATGGTCCGTGGCCATTTTTCCGCCCC